CACCTCTAGGCCACCGCATCACTCTTAACAACCGCTAAGTAATCCCCCAAAAAGGTTGGGCTCCATTGTGGCCGTAATTCAAGGACTGCCCCTTTTTCCTTCGCCAGATGAGGAGATCCCCAGCTCCAAAGACGTGATGGCGGAGACCACCAGCTCAGAAGAGGAGCAAGACCCCAGCGGCTTCCTCCCGATCGGTCGCCCCTTCGGCCCCCAGAACCAGATCGCCGAAAGCCCCATGGATGGCCAAGCTATGAGACGCTCCAGCCAAGGGTCCTTCACCAGGGCCAGCTTGGAAGACCTGCTGAGCGTGGATCCCGAGGCCTATCAAAGCTCCATGTGGCTGGGCACGGAGGACGGGTGGTAAGGAGACCCCTGCCCTGGAATCTCTCCAGGCCTGCTGTTGAGGGCCACACCGGAACAAGAGTTTTCCCTTGGGGTCCAAATTGGGAAGAGGGCACTCTGCAGGATGGCAATAACGCTTAGACTTATATAGCGCTTCGCAGTGCTTTTCCAGCCCTCTCTAAGTGGTTTACAGAGTCAGCCACTGAGGGAGGGAGGAAGGAAGGAAGGAAGGAAGGAAGGAAGGAAGGAAGGAAGAAGGGAAGGAAGGGAAGGGAACAGAAGGGAAAGGAAGGAAGGAAGGAAGGGAAGGGAAGAGAAGGGAAAGGAAGGAAGGGAGGAAGGAAGGAAGGAGGGAGGAAGGAAGGAAGGAAGGAAGGAAGGAAGGAAAGGCAATAGCCCTTAGCACTTATATACCGCTTTCTGGTGCTTTCCAACCCTCTCTAAGCGGTTTACAGGCTTCTTGCCCCCAACAATCTGGGTCCTCATTTTACCCACCTCGGAAGGACGGAAGGCTGAGTCAACCTGGTGAGATTCGAACGGCCCAATTGGCAGGCACCACCACTTCCTTCTCCTGCTCCTCTCCACAAAGCCCCTTCTCTTCTAGCACTGATGATGTTCTCTAGATGGGTCACGAAACGGCTGCGAGAAAACCACCCAGCTCAGAGAGCACCAAGGACCTCCCCCCCCCCCCCAAATCCAGGGCAGTTTTCCATCAACCAACTTCGCTACGTGAACACTACACCCCCTTTCCCTCGTGTCGCCTCCATCTCCAGGCCTCGTGTTCTCTTCTGTTTCCGTTGCAGCATCCACGTCTATCAGTCTTCGGATAACATTCGCAACAGGAAGAACAGCCTGAAGATGCAACATTCGGCCTCTGTGACCTGCATTTTGTAAGTGTCAAAGCACCTTGAGGCGGCGCTGACCATAATATATACCCATCATGTCTCTGTGCCGGGCCGGTTTATATTCCGTGTGGTTTAAGAAAAATAAATAAATCTGATTTTGCTATACATGGTAAAGGAATGAATAGAAAAGCACAAAAGACCCAAGAGATTTAGGTGAAGGATGGAGAGTTTAGATCAGGGGTGTCCAACCTTGACAACTTTAAGACTTGTGGACTTCAACTCCCAGAATTCCTCAGCCAGGAATTCTGGGAGTTGAAGTCCACAAGTCTTAA